GGTATTGGTATTGGTATTGGTATTGGTAAAAGCAAAAGAACCCCTGAAATGTCATCCCTATCTATCTTCTAGATAGATGGATCCCATAAATATTTAAAATAAATACATCAAGCGAAGAAGGGGGCAGCTGGAGGATAAACCCATATCCAAATCGCACCTGCTCTCTCCTGTATTCTGCCGTAGTCCTTCAAAATGAGCCTCTTCTTTTTTTGAGTTGTCCTCGAATGGAAACTTCCCTTTCTCCATTTTGCACACACGACAATTATAGTGTCTAAAAAACCAATGGCAACTGCTCTAGCCTCACACTTAGTGAATTTTGGCTCACACTAATTGCGACCTACCCTACCTGTGTTAATTGATGCCTTTGCCATTGTTGCTAAAAGTGTTCATCCACCTCCAGCATCTTCCTATCTCACTGCTGCCCGATATAGGTGCCTGCCTGCTTCAGCTTCACCTTCGTGCCTTGCTTATACTCTTTGCGCACACTCCCAGCGCTCTTTGCTCATCCCTTCCAGGGGCACCCCCTTCCCACAGTGAGGCAGGACAGCAGGACTTGGGGGGCAAACAACCTTGGCTGATCTGAAAAGCTAAGCAAGGTTCAGCCTGTTAGCACTTGGATGGGATACCACTAGGAAATCACAGGGATGCAGCTTAGCCTGGGAAGTCGAGTGAACCCTAACCCTAACCCTGGAAGAAGGCAACACCAAACCCCCATAGTATTATTACCAAGGAAACTGAATGGAAGAGAACCAGTTTGGTGTAGTGGTGAAGGCACCAAGCTAGAAATCAGGAGATGGTGAGTCCTAGCCCAACCCAGAAAGCTGGCTGGTTGACTATGGGCCAGTCCCTCCCTCTCAGCCCAAGCCACTTCACAGGGTTGTTGTTGTGGGGAAAACAGGAGGAGGGAACATTGTGTGCACCAGCCTGAACTGCACAAAATAAAGGCAGATATAAATCTGATCTAATAATGGAGGGGTCCACCTGGCCTTCAGGTTGACTTGGAGATTTACCTTTCCTGGTGGGGGAAGAGATTGGGGGATCCCCCCAGAAGGAGCACAAGGCCGTGGTGGACTAACAAAGCCTTCTCAGGTGAAGTGGGGCCTGTTGTGGTGCAGGAGGGGCTGTTGCTAGTGTAATGAGAGCCCTGTGGTTGCGGATGGGGGTCTGGGGATATTCAGAGGGCCTATTTGTCTCTCTGGGCCAGCAGATCCCCAGCTGGGTTCTGGGGTAGACTGAACTTGGTTCTTGGGCACTGTAAGCCAGAACTCAGTCCCAGAGCTGGCTTGAGGGAGAATCTAGCTAGGGGGCCCAGGGAGGATGCCAGGGTGCTAGACCCGCAGGCAAGCTCACATGGTGCAAGTGGAACGGACCAAGGTTTGAAGAGAGGTCTGTGAAATGTCCGTTCTGTGACTGCTTCTTGTCCTCTGTTTGTTCTACCATACTTCGAACCCGGCGCAGTCCCAGAGGACGATATCAATACCAAACACAATCAGTATCAAGCAAAATGGCAACAACAACGGAATAATAACTAATGACAACAACAGAACGATAACCAAATTCAAAAGAGAATCAAAAACAGGATAACAAGAAGGAAAAGCGGGAATTAAACCACGAATGTAACCTGAGATGGGCATCCGCTGCCGGTCAGCTGGGGCCAAAAGCACGTGGAAATAAAACAGCTTTAACTTGTTTACGGAATTGTAAAATGGGGGGGGGGCTGCATGTGCTTCAAATAATGCTGATTCTAGAATGGGAGAGTTAGATATGGCTAGCTCCTCAGGTACTGTGCCCACTTCTGAACACCATACTTTCCAAAAGTTGTGGAGAAATTGGAGTGGATTCAGAGCAGGCAATAAGAATGAGCAGGAAACTCAGTCCGGACTACAGCAGTCCTCGAATTACGACCAGTCATTTAACGACCGTTCGAAGTTACAACAGCACCGGAAAAGGTGACTTACGACTGGTCCTTGCACTTAAAACTGTCACAGCGTCCCCCAGTCACATGATCAAAATTCAGGCATTTGGCAACCGGCATGTATTTATGACACCTGCAGCATGCCAGGGTTATGTGATCACCATTTGCAACCTTCCTGGGGTCTTCCAACAAGCAAAGCCAATGGGGGAAGCTGGATTCACTTAACGATCATGTGATTTGCTTAAGCCACAGCAAAAAAGGTCGTAAAATTGGGCACAACTCACTTTACAACCGCATCACTTATCGATGGAAGTTTTGGTCCCAGTTATGGTCATAAGTTGAGGACTGCCTGTACTGTAAAGTGCTCTACGTGGGGCTGCCTTTGCAGATGGCTCAAAAGGGGCGCTGGTTACAAAATGCAGCAGTTCCATTGCTGGTGGGACAGTCCTGCCAGTCTAAAATCACCCCTTTCTTAAACTTGCTGCGTGGGCCTTCGGGGCCCAGTTCAAACCGCCGATGGGGAACTTTGAAGCTCTACAGGAGAAGCACCCGTTGCATCAGACAGCTTCTTGATGGAATCAGAGCTGTGGTGTGGTCACCTAGAGAGGGCCTGTTGAGTCTGCCCTCTTTACATGGTACCTGGGGAACAAGGTGGCAGGCCTACTCTGTGGTACCTCTAACACAGTGCTTCTCAACCTTGACAGCCTCAAGAGGTGTGGACTTCAACCCCCAGAATTCCCCAGCCAGCATGCTGGCTGGGGAATTCTGG